ATAAAAATATAATTTCTTCTGTTTTAACAAGTGCCAGTATTTGATTATCCTTTGGGTCTGGTAACGCGTTGCTCGAGTATCTATTTTGTATTTTTTTTCGTAATAAACAACAAAGTGATCATAATTATCTTGTGATTTTTAAACTGTTTTCACAATGTCTAAGTAAACAGAGACACCAAAAATCTGTGATGTTGCAAATGGTAGTGATTCCCAATAGGATTTTATAGTAAAATACACCCTCTGGTATCTTCCACAAATGTCTGCTAAGGTAGTTTATTTTTTTTCCTGTGGGAACTTGTTCAATTAGCAATACATCAACGAAACATTCTCTTGAAAAATTATATATTATTGAGGAACGTGTCGTCTGACCTTAAAAAAAGAATTTTGCTGTTACTGACACAGATGAATAAGATGCACGAACGTCCTACTTTTATTATGCTTATCTTTGATATGCGAGCATGATCATCCGTTAAAAACATTTAAACCAAGAATCAAATATTTTTTGTCAGCACTCCCTAGATTTTTTTTTTTTTTAATTTTTTTTTATTCTACTTTCACACATATTACACAAATACACAAACGTATATATAAATAAATGTACAAGACCATATGAAATAAAGAGAAAAGGGAGACTATGTATAAAACTAGTGTGAAAGTTTACAAGGAGAGAGAGAGAGAGAGGAGAAAGAGATGGGAGAGGGGGGCACATATTTCATGTAAAACTCTTGTATACGTAATAATTTGTGATGAGCAAATTTTAGAGTTTTTCAGCTATTTCTTGCCAGTGTCTTTCAAATTCATCATATTTACAGTTTTTTTAACAAGAGGAACTTTTCTACTCTAATTCTTTCGGTAATAACAATTTTTAAAGCCTCAATATTCAATTTTATAGTTTTGGCGAACTTACTTGCAAAAATATATTATTTTATTATCAGAATTAGTAAATTTTCTAACTTGTATAAGTTTCTATTTGTAAATTTACCAAATAAAATTGATTGCCTATCAAAGCAAACAGACCTGTTCAATTTTTGCAAAATCCATTCCTCAATCTCTAACCAAACTTCTTTTACTAGAGAACATTCAACAAAAAGATGATCAATAGTTTCAATATCCTTCCCACAGAAGGAGCACAATGGTGAATCAATTAGTTTTAATTTAAAGAGATGGCATTTTGTAGGAATTATTCTATGCAAAATTTGGAATTGTAGCCATTGGAGTTTTGATTCTTGGGTTGTTTTGAAAGGTAGCTCAAAAAATTTTTCCCAATATGTTTCACCAAATTCTTCTCCATTTTCACTCCATTTTATAACTGAAGTACTATTACCCTTTTTATTATTAATGAGAACATTATACATATCTTTAAATCCTTTTTTACTCTTAAAAAATATTCCAAGGGTGGCTGGAATAAGTGGTCTAGAAATTGGCATTATTTTGTAATTCTTAAAACAGGCTAGCCTCTTTCTAATTGCCATCCTTAATCCTGCATATTCAACATAGTTTGTGTTTATCTTAATGTTATTTTGTATGAATTCAAAACTGTAGAAATCCCCATTTGGATCTAGCAAGTCATTGATAAAAACAAAGCCTGAATTAAAGTAACTTTTGATGAAAATTGACCGGCCACCGATAATAACATCTGGATTATGCCATATGTGTTCTTGAGGAGGAGTTACATGTAAACCATCCATAGCTTTAGTCTGATATATTTTACACCAACTGGAAAATACATCTTTCCAAAACTTATTTTTCATGATACTACTCAGATTCTTAATAAAATCAATTCCGAACATCCAAAGATGATTTATACTTGTTTCCAATTCTGTTTCAAGTAATTTAACCCATTTAGCATTTGAACACATAACCCGTCTTATCCAACTGGATTTTAATGATGTAACAAAATCTTTATAATCTATCATTTTCAAACCCCCATATCTATACTCTTGAATCATTACATTCTTTTTTACTTTATGATTCTTATTATTCCAAAGGAAATTATACAAGTCTTTTTCAAAAGCACTTAAGACATCATCAGTGGGATTTGGTAAAGTGAGGACGAGATGATTTAATTTAGGTATTAATAATGTTTTTATTACTGTCAGTCTTCCAAGAAGAGTAAGTTTGCGAGTTTTCCATTGTAACATGGTTTTTTTTTAATTTCTTGAATTTTTAATTTGTAATTAACATCTACCATCTCATGTAAATCAACAGAAAACTTAACACCTAGTAAATCAAAGGATGTAGTATTGGGATCAAACTTCCATCTGGAATGGTGAAATACTTCTTTTGAGAATTTTTTACTTCCAATCCAAACTAGTTTAGTTTTAGAAAAATTTATTTTTAGACCTGAGATTGATGCAAAATAATCTAAAACTCTTGTAATTCCATCCAATGAGCTTGGAGAGCCATCAGAAATAACAGATGTATCATCTGCATATTGTAACAACTTGTATTCTTCACCATCAATTGTAATACATTTTATATCTTTTTTTATTCTAATTAAAATACCTAGAATCTCTGCACAAAGTAAAAAAAAAGGTATGGTGAGATAGGATCACCTTGTCTACAACCCCTTTCAGGGCAGAAATACTGTGACACAATCCCATTTTGAATAACACAGGATTTGATATTATTATAGAAACATTTTATCCAGTTTCTAATTGAGGGACCAAAATTGAAAAAAACAAAGTGTTTGATGTATGAAGTTCCATGAAATTGTATCAAATGCTTTTTCGAAGTCAATAAACATTAGCAGACCAGGTATTTTTCTCGATTCTGCTTTGTGCATAATATCATATATTAATCTAATATTTTCACCAATAAATCTACCTTTAATAAATCCTGTTTGGTCTTCATGTATTAACTTATCTAAGAAATTTTTTATTCTTTCGGCGATACATCCAGAGGCTAATTTATATACAACATTTAAGAGGCTAATAGGCCGCCAGTTTTTTTAAAAATTGTCGTGGCTTACCAGTTTTTGGAATACAAGTTATTACGCCAAGTTTGTTTGGTTCAGAAAATGTTTGTTTTAAGTATGAATCATTGATTGCTCGTGTGATGAATGTGCCAATATCCATCCAAAAAAATTTAAAGAATTCACAAGTGAATCCATCTGGACCCGGGCTTTTATCATTTTTCATTTGTTTAAGAAATTTTAGAACCTCTGTTTTTGTTACAGGACCCTCTATACTTTGTGATTCTTCAAAAGACAGCTTGGGGATATCATTGTATTCTAATAATTTTTCACTATAGTTTTCATTTTCTATTACTTCCCTTTTTTTATATAGATTTTCATAAAATAATTTTGTTTCATTTAGAATATCATATTAATTTGAAATAATAGATCCATTTTCTGTTTCTAATCTTGGTATCTGTTTACTTATATAATTTCTAGATTCGAGCTGACTGAAATATTTTGACGGTTTTTCTCCTTCATCAATCCATTTCATTCGGGAACGGATAACCTGTCCCTTTAACCTTGTCTTATGTATATCTTCAAGTTCTGTTTGTTTCATTTTAAGGGTAGCTAACGCACTTTCTGTTAAATTTTGTTCTAAATATAGAATCTCATTTTCTAAATATAATTCTCTTTCAAGCATCTTTTTTTTCTTATAACTCGAATAAGAGATAGTCTTTCCTCTGATTTCCATGAGTAAAATATCTAAGAAACACTGGTCACTAACGGTAAAAAATAATAATTCGTTATCGAAAGAACAAAGATTATCTATATTGTACACTGGGCAAGCATACTGAACTTTCACTTCATTAATTTTTTGTTTGATTGATTCAATGTAAACCTTATCTGTTAAAAGAGAACTGTTAAACTTCCAAAATCCTTTACCTTTTACTAAGTCATTTATTTTCAAAGACATCACAACTGGAGAATGGTCTGTTCTATATCTGCTTTCATATTGAACATTACTAACAGAAGGGAACAATGATTCAGAAATTAGAAACAAAATCTAACCTAGCCTGTTTTAAGGGTGTCTTTTTCCTCCACGAATAGCGTCTAACTTAAATATTTTCACGGAAAACATCTTTTAAATTCAAATTTTCCATTAAATTCATAACTTCCATTCAAGTTTTTATAGTTATGGATAATTCAAGTTTTTATAGTTCATGGAATCTAATTCCTTATCCAAAACTAAATTAAAATCCTCTGCTATGATTATTTGTTGCAACATATACATTTTTTCAATCTCATTCATCAAATTTGAGTAGAAAACTGGTGTATCATAATTTGGCCCATAAATATTTGCAAGTACCCTCAATGGTACAGTCTATAATTATATAATTTCCGTTTACATCACTCAAATGTTTGTGGATATCCATTTCGCAATTATTATTAAAAAGAATAGCAACACCACGCGAATTAGACTTATAAGAACCGAAGAAAGCCTGATAACCCAACTGTGTTTGGATGAATTTTTCGTTATTTTTAATGAAGTGTGTGTCTTGTAGAAAGTAAACATTATAGTTCTTTTTTCTTAACGTATTAAAAAAATATAATCTTTTGTTTTTATCTCCAAGACCCTGGCAATTCACTGTGAGTATATTTAGATGATTTTCCTTAACCGTGTTCATATAAAAAAAAATCAAGAGGGAATCGAAAAAGTGCCCAAAGTAAAGAAAGGAGAAGAAAAGGGCAATAGAAACGTAGTAGAAAGATAAAGGTGCATATTTACAAAAAAAGTGAATTAAAGTTGCCATCAGCCGTTTGATCGTATCTACTGATGGAGAAAGGAATTTGTCAATCTGCATTTACCACTAAATAATACCCAAAACACATACAATCGGAAATACAAATTGCTACATAATGTATGAGTAAGTCTGAGTAACTGATATTTTCCCGGAAAAAATTTTCAAGCTAGGGAAAAGTAATCCAACTTAGATAAGGATAGAAAAGGAAGGAAAAAAATAAACAAATAATTATGAAAAAAAAAGTTACTTTTGCATGTTACACAGGAACAGTATTTATATTGTGTTCGTCTGTTTAATTCTTAGTAACAAGTGCGACTCACAGCTTTGATAACAAGATCGTTCATAACGTCAAAGCGACGGGGACCCAAATGCCTACCATTTTTCCTCGAAATGACAACCGCTACATTTAATACATCTCTCTCAACAAGTACCTTTAGCATTCGACGTCCGGCCCCGTACTCCCCATTATCACAGTAACCGTCGTGCACACGTCCTTGAGCATCTTTAAATCGGTACACTAAGATGTTGTGGTTGGCACAGGCATAGTCTGCATTGCGTAAAACATTTTTGTATACGTCTCTGACCTGTGCATATGTATGAATTTCGGAAATGAGTGAAGTAAAGATATTCCCGTCTTCTGTAACACTGTCACATCTGTTAACATCACATTCTTCCAGTTTTTCAATTTCTTCTTTGTCCAGCATGAGTAGATCCTCAGCTCGTGGTGGTAGCACCTTGTCACGATATACACTTCCATTTGGAAATACTAACTTATTTCCCACTATCTTTGTCTTTACGTTTTCTTCTCGATACTTGTTGTTCATCTCCTGTAGCTTTTTTTTACTCTCATTTATTTGGAGAGGGGTCTGGGGAGTTATGTAAAAAGGCATGTTGTTAATGGTGCCATTTTCCCTCTTTTGTCTAATAGCCTGGAGGATGAGTTCTTTATCGTTGTAGTTCTGTAATTTCCCTGTTATTGACCTTGGTTTAGAATTACCGGGAAATTTCTGACCATTTCGGTGTATTCTGATGAAGCCAACTTCCAGATTCAAATGCTCCTTGATCAAATCGCTAACTCTAGTTGTCAGATCTTCCTGGTCATCTTCCGCTAAATTATGTACAAGAATATTGTCCTTCATAGATCTTCCTTTGAGGTCCACTATTTCGTTCTCTTGCTGAGTGACTCTTCTGTCTAGGTTAACGACGATAGACTTTAAAACTTGGAGCTCTTTTCGCAAATAACTGTTTTCTAATTTCAGCGTTTCAAATTCACCAACATTATCTTCATGTTGTTGGCCGATATATTTGATACGTTCGTCTAACCCATCTTCGTCCCAAAGATCTCGATTCATGTTATTAACTGATTGCTGTAGAATATTGATATTGCCCAATTTACCGGTGATTGACCGTAAGCAATCATGGATAGCGGACATTTGAATTGACGCTCCAGTGGTTCCCGATGCCAGGGTAGGATTACACTGTGATTTGTTCTCATCCTTGCTATTTTGAGAAGCCATAATTTTTGAAAGTTACAAACTTCCAAAAACACACCAATTTTTTCCAGTTTAACACAAAAGGTACTCCAAGTAGAAAGAAACACCCCTGCAAAGTTTTGGGGGCAACAGCTAAGTCATCAAATCGCAGATCGACTTATTCCTCCCTTAAATTTACACCATGACCACACTAGCCATAGGTCACGTGAACTTCCTACTCCCTAGATTTTTAGTAGGTATGTTAATTGGCACTGGCGGATCCAGAAGTTAATGTAGAGCTCGAAATGGTGCATTTTCGATCATATTAGACTAATTTGGTTGTTTATCTAATTTATTTTTTTTTATTTATTTATTTTTTTTTTTTTTTTTTTTTTTTTTTTTTTTGTTGGTCTTTCTTACAATAACAGATGGGCTACTGGACTTTTGCGAGAAGCGTTGACTTTTACATTCAACGACTTATTTTTATACTGGGAAAATATACAGCAGCTCTTTTGCAATATAAATATTCATACAACAGTTAATTAAACGATGATAATTGCACATTTCAAAGCAAATATTACGTTGTCTAGGGAGGGGAAGGAGAAATACCCTATACTAACCCCCTCACTTCCCACTTGACCAAGTACTGCCAAATTTTCATTCCGGAATGTTTTTTCTTCCTTATTTGATTCCTTCATAAAATGAGATCGAAAGGAAATATTAACCCTTACGAGTAAGGTATTTTAAGTTATGTTATTCTACCTCCCATCATCTCTTGTGTTGATTGCAAACCAATAAATCATGTAAGTGCCCCTAACACCATACCTATGACCACTAGTAAGGTTTTCTAATATAATATCAATTCCGTATCTCCGTATATAACACCTGTTTAAATGTCAAAGTAAGCCGTCAAGTGTAAAATTTAGTGCTTCTCGCAAAAGTCCACCACTGCATGTAATATAATTTTTACCACAATTCATAATACAAAGTTGTAACCGTTAAAGTGGGTTTTGGAATATAATTAGTAGCCAGTCAGAAAATGGATAATTATTTCAATTGTTTGCAAAAATTCACTACAGGGACATATTTTTTAAATTTATATCATCAATCAAAACTTTAAGATAGCTGTGTAAAGTGTTTAGTGTTCTGCATGAGTAAAGACAAGGAATATATTTCAAATGTATCTAAAATGGATAATCCATGAATTGAATTTTAATTTTCAAAATTTACCCGTTTTGTTCTGTAATCATTTGCACAGGCAGCTCTAGTCTCTGTGGACGCATTCAAAATGACTTATTGATATATGATTAGGTCTAATTCTCTTATCTCTGTAAAGAGAAAGAAAAGACCAATATTTCCATTTATTTTTGGTAAAAAGATAAAGGACTCTCGCATTGTAAAAAGTCCTTGCGATGGTTTGCGATATTTATATAGGGGCCTTACTGAAGCACGCGAATTTTGTCATCAAGGAAAAGTCCTATATGAGGGAGCATTATCCAAAAAGGGTCATACTTTCCCTTTCCGAACGAGCTATTTCTCCTATCAGGTAACACTGGTTTAGAAAGCCACCACGTTTATCTGTCTTTCATAAGTTATGCAAGGTTTGCAAAAACAATGTTGACATTCAAAATAGTTTTTATTTTGAGGGATACTGAATGTTAGTCTTCACCACTGGTGTCCTATCTTTCAGTAGTGTTCCCTTCACATAACATTTTGCCTGACTTCCATTCATTAAAATTTATAAATTGAATTATTGTTCCCCTTTGTTCAGAATCCATTCTCAAAGAAATTTTACTTGTGTCCTCACTTTCCTCAATATTGTAACTAGAATGGGGGTTGAAATTGGAGGGAAAGTTTTATGGAAGAGAGCACCAAAGGAGGTTTATAAACATGTTGCACTGTAATTGGTCATTTTCACGAGCATTGAAAGTTCGTTTTTTAGCCAACAAAATTGTTATCAGATATCTACACTGACAATCATTACAACACAATAATCATCACTGGAGTTTTTCTAGCCACATATTCTTTGACCCTAGAGGGCCCATCATGGGAGATGTGCTGATTAATAAATTGACATTTGCCGGAATTGATGCTGGGACTGACTCCCCACTGTGAAATATTTAAGCTTTACATGATACATTGTAACTGACCTACTTCATTTGATTTGAACTTCTTCAATGGGATAAACTTAGTTTATAAATGTTTATTCAACAAATATTTTTTTTTTCAAACTCAAAGGTTGTCAATTTTGCTGACACTTGTATTTACATACATTTTTACATATATTTAAAAAAAATATTATGTACCTTAGTACATAACATGTAATAATGGCCTAGTTGCTGATATTAAAAAACAAAAGTGCAAGTAAGATTATTTTAAGAAGAAAATAAATCGAGTAATCATTGTAAAAAAAAAAGTAGAAAATAGAATACATTTCAAGAAGACGAGAAAGATTGCAGAAACCAAGCGAAAAAGGCTTGCCATTTTCACGAATGGGATACAGAAAGAAAAAAAGCAAGAAATAATGCAAAATCGTCCGAATGTGAAGGAAGATTCGGTCAGTAAGTAAGGGAGACCATTCAATAACACAGACATAATAGAATCATTGTTAGATACCTGATAAAGATCCATAGAAAAGAGTGATACTGATGATTTCTAAATTAAGACATATTAAGCTTGAAAAAGATTTTATCTATATTTGAATTTAACATTTAAATAACAAGAGAATTGACTTTATGGATTCCGTAGATTTCACAATAGTATTTCTTGAAATGTTCTAATATTGGAAACATTAAAGTTTATCCACAAAATCAAAATAAATCACTGATTTATAAAAAGAAGTGTAGAATTGGAGCTTTCTGATAAACGTACGCGTGATGAATTTAACTTTTCAATTGACTTCCCTTATACTTATGTAGCTATATACCCTTATCACCTGTATATGGGTTTTATGTCTCTCAGTTGATTATATACTCCAGAGCATGCTCTACGGACGAACGATTTCTAAAACGAGGTAAGCTACTGACAAAAATTTGATGAAACAAGAATATCAACAGTCTCATTTAAAGTCATCATTTTAAAAGTTCTATGGTCGATACAATGACATTGTCAGCAAATACAATCTATCATTAAGAATGCTAACTGTTGTTTTTCATACTTATTGTTAGACCATTACCTACACAATGAATTATCTACAGATTTCTTTGTTTTCCCGATCATGACAAGGAGCACACGACAGGAGTGACCGGTCGGCAGGAGACGCCCACTCCTCAATGCCACCTGATCCCACCTCTAATGTCCGTGTTTTCTCTGCTCCTGATTTGGATTGTTTGAATGGACTTCTGAGCTTGCGTACTGTGCGTTATTTCAGTATTTCATTAAAGTGACAAGAAATGGAGCAAAGAAATTTTGTTAATCCAGTATATCAATGAAATTTTTCTATTTTTGCAATCTCTTCGTTCAAACATCTTTGTCTTCATTTTCTGTCGACCGCCTTTTCCTCTGCTTTTTTTTCTACTCTCGCTATCTTGGATAGCCCATGATCAGATAAAGGTTCAAAAGAAGGAATCTGTTACATGTTTTTTACTAATTTAACATTTTGTTCCTCCTTCTTTATTATCCCCTCTTTGTCACAATTTTCTTTTGACCACCTTTTCTTCTGAAGTTTCCTTCCTTCTCCCTATCTTGTCTTTCCATGCTTTGACGAGCTTTGGAAATAGAATATTTGTTCTAATTTTGCCATTTTCTTACATTTAAATATAGTTTCTTTATTTTAACCAATATATAAATAATAATTATAATATATATATATATAGTGATTGAATTCATTTTTTCAATAGTTGCTGACAATGATTTCAGTATAAAAACCAAATTGCAAGCCTCATTGAAATAACCCCAATATTGGGAAAAATATAAGGATTAATTCTTCATTTTGTTTCCCAACATAATAAATTAATTTATTGAGTTTAAAATATGATATGTAATTTTATGTTCTATTTTCTGTCTAGAAATACTATCAATACACGGATATCTGTGATTTAACTGATCTAGTAATTTTAAGCAATTTTGTTATATAAGGTTCATCTTTGTTATTAAATGGGGAAAGTAAAAGATTATGAATACAGATAGTTGTAGAAATTAGAATATCTACATTAAAAAAAAGAAAGAAGACATCTATTTGATATCCAATATGTGTACAAACTTTTTGATGAAAAAATGGTTATTTTTTATCAAAAGGATATAGAATAGAAGTAAATTCGCGCTTATATTCATGGGCCCATTTTGTATTTTGTATATTTATATATATTTGATTAATCTTATTATGATAAATCGTTCATTGGTGATAAGAATTGTGATTATTATTTGTTCACCTTATGCTTCCAGCCTCAAATCACTGTTCCATCTCCTCAACACTTCCTTAGTGAAGTAGAGATGGGCAGGCCTCTGCATGACCGTATATATATACTTAGTATATCTATTTTTATCTTTTTAAAATTAAATGAATTATAAATAAATAAACACACCACCACGTCACCCAGCCGAGGAGACTGAAGCAATCAATTTTTTGGTGGCCGGCCATACATGTAGTATAATGTCAACTCAATAAACAGGGAAAATAAAGATGAGAGTTGATACAATTTAAATAGTAACGAAATATGGAGGGTTGATACAATTTAAATAGTAACGAAATATAGAGTGAGGCGCCTCGGCGTGAAACATGCACACCCTGTAGACAAAAACACGGTGGAAATTAATTCAATACATTCTCTCGATATTTTTTAAATAATGGCACTAAACAAATGTTTCAGATTTGTATTAATGGTCTACCTAAGATTTGCAAGTAATATTCTGTTTAATGATAAAATGCATTTTTCACTGTGAAAAAATTATTGATCCGCCTCTCACTGCACATAAAATGCGTCAAACGTCATGTGGACAAGTGCATTGCGATCAGTGACTTGTTTATAACTTGCTGTGGGATTTAACTAGCGACAAAAATGAATGCAATGGTAAGTTTTGATGTAGTTCATTACTCTAATGCAGTT